AATGGAGTTGCTTATTGCTTAGCTAGACTAGCTTTGAATAATGCTACGATGATATATGAATTGGGGAATGCCCATCCACCATCCAGGAAATGATTATCACTGAGTTTAATTATCTTTAGTAATACAATTACTGAAGCTTAAAAAAAAATAATGTGGCCCAAAATAAGCCCTAAATGGAACCAAGGCTTAATAAGACAAATAAGGCCCAAAAAGAAGTTAAAAGCCTATGAATCAATAACTAAAAGCTTTAAAATATCATGGACCAAATGGGTGTCTACACTAACCCTAAACCAGATACCAAACCCTAAACCCTAAATCTAACCTCTAACACTAAATCTGACTCAAACCCTAAATCCAACCAAAAATCTTAAATTGTTCAAACTTTGAAACTACTCTAATTTTAAAAAACCTTGACTTATGCCAACACCCAAAGCCATCCTAAAAATCAAAGAATTCATATCAAAATCTCATATAAAGTAATTTATTTTCGAATATCACCTAAAGGATGGGATATTTAGGATATTTTATTTCATTAAGTTTTTTGAACAATTCGTTAATCTAGGATAATAACAAAATTAAACAAAAGAAAAGAAATAAAGACTGGATTTTAGATATAAATAATGGTATCCAGTGGTGGATCTTAATATTTGATTTTGAGATGGCCAATTAAAATTATATAGATTTTTTCATTTACCATGTTACTTAAAATCTGGAAAGAGTGTTAAATATATATAGGTATTTAACATAAATATATATTTTTTTAATTTTTTTTCATATATTTGGATTTTCCAACTTTCATTATCACATTTATCATATATGTATTGAACACGAGTATTTCAAGAAAAAAAATCTAACTGATTAACATAGTTAATTTAAGGTTTTATCAAACACAAAATTGAAAACGATCACAAAAATACAAAAAGATAATTATAATAAACTAAAAAAAAAAAAAACACTTTTGGCACTTGATGGAAGATTGAAATCTTATTGAGAAAAGAAGAAAATTTATTTTTTTTAAGTATACATGAGTGTGATTTTATAGTAATGACAAATTTATTATTTTTAAGAATTTGTGATAATGATTATGGGCACAATAAATGACAAATAATAATATAATTAATTTTTCCTAAATTGCAATGCATAAAATTAAATTAAAGATAAAAAATATAATTAACAAATATCAATTTTAATGAAAGAACCAATTTAATTTGATAGAAATATATAAAACAATTATAGTGTGTAATATATATAATATATGTTAAAGGGATATTGAAACTTTGGGAAGGCCAAAGTCCCCTCTAGCTCTAATTGTAGTCCTCCATTGGTCGTATCTAAACTTAGCTTAGAGTTAGGGAGTTTGGGTGGTCTTTTTATTTTTAAGGACCCAATTCCAAAATCGCACATCATCATCATGCATAGCATCCACTTACATATATTCATCTTTAGATTGTTGTTTGCATTCATTTTACATGTTTATATCTTTTGATTATTATTATTGATTTTTTTGTTAATTGTAATATCATCATTTTTTAAAAATTTTTTTAAGAAAAATATTATTTTAAAAATCTAGTTTTTGAAATAAAACTAAAATAACATTCCAAGGGAAATAATTCTTGGTATTCTGCTTGGATATTGGAGAGTTACTAACAATTATCATTTGCAAAGAATGCTATTTTCATTTTTAAGGAATGTCATAATAAATCTTAGGTGAAAAGAGTTATCTTTAAATTCTATGGAAATGTTGGAGAATTTTAAAGCAATTCTTGAACCCAAAGATTTTCACAATATTCCTAAATAATAACTTTTAATAAAATTGATTTTCTCTTTCAAATAGTGAAAGGAATTATTATTAAATTTCAAATTGAAACTATTTTTATCCAATACAAAAAATAATTTATGATGAATTGGTATCGTTTTTTAAAATGGGCGCTGTGGTGTGTTAATTCTTCCCTATGCATAACCATACTTTGAACTTAGCTCTATTTTCAAAAACTAAAAATATTTTTTTTATAAACCTTAAATTCATTTTTTAGTTTTATTAAAAAGATAAACTTTTTGGGTGATCAATCATACCTAACAAAAAAGATTTGTGGCAACTTCCTTTTTTTTTTCAATTTTCAAAATTTTTACATCTTATGATTGGGTCCGCGGATTTACATGTTGCAACAATAACAATGTTTTGATCTAAATAGCAAGTTTAAATCTTTGTAATCATGCACACTGATAATGGAAGTCTTTTTGCATATTGTAAGAAAGTTGAATTGAGAGAAAAAAATATTATCTGATTGAGTGAAGAGTTAAAGGTAAAGATAAAAAGTCTATGGAAAGCATTTACAAAAGATAAGAACAAATGTTTATATAACTTTGCTCCTTATAATATATGAAAAAAGAAAGTTAGTTGAAAAAAAAAATTACCTAATTGAGTGATGAGTCAAAAGCAAAGATAAAAGGCTAGGGTACATCACCTACAAAATATAAAAATACATGTATTTATGTAACTTTACACATTGTAATATATATATATATATATATATTTATAAAATCAAAGTTAAACACAAAGAGCTTACTGTAAGCACCTTAAAAGGAAAAAAAAAATGCTTCTTCAACTTTCACTTCATAACAAAGAAAGAAAAGAAACTACACACAAAACTGAAGAATAATGGGGAGAAAATATCAAATTGATGTTAAGGAAGATGTTAAAGAATCATCTATAAACTATCAAGAGAGTAAATTTGGTATTTTTAACTAATAAAAGGTTATCATGAAATCTATTAAGATAAAGTTACATTTGATTTTTTTTAATTTTAAAGATATATATTTAAATTATTAAAAAATTAATTTTAGAAAATAAAAAACATTATTGCCCTGGTTATTATAAAATAAAAGTAAGTAGTGTATTTTTATTGTGAAATTTTGATGAGTACTAAACTTTTAATTATAAAGTGATTATCATTCAACAACTTAATTAGCAAAGTTTTTCAAATTTACAAAGGGATTTAAAAGGTTGATATATAATAATTTATGATATATTTTAAAAATAAATTATTTAATTTGTAAATAAATGTTATAACAATAATATAAATTCATTTTGACTTAGATTAATTAAACTTTATCTCGTGCGACTATAATCCAACTCAATTTATATTGGTTTTATTTGATTGGTTTATTTATTTGTAATTTTTAGTGTGAATATATATTATTTGTGTTGAAAATATTTGACTATATTTATAATTTATACTTGTAATACAACTTTTAAGATATATCTAAAGATATATTTAATAGATAAAGATAATTTTTTTAGTTAAAAGAAAAGCTTTGGATAATTAAAAAATTTTCAAATAAATATATCTTATAAAGAGTTGGATAACCAATTATTTTTTTAAATACATTTATTTTTAATCCTTAAATAAAAAATAAGATTTAATCTTACTTATTTAAATAAAATCTTACAAAAAATAATAATTTATCTATTCAATTATTTTAAATCTAAATTGGTTTTTCATTTAAATTTTGAAAATTTTAGATAATTCAATAATTTTTTTAATATATTTTTGATAAATAATTTAAAATTAAAAAATATATTTTATATCATTGTAAAAAAATTAAAGAATTTCTTTTACTTATGAAAAAATTATCTATATAAACGTTTATATCAATAAATCTTATTTGACAATTATGTATATTATAATATATATATATATATATATATATATACATACTAGAAAAATTACCTAGTTACACCTAGGTGGTAAAATTTTTTATTTTGATGAAATATAAATTTTTTAATTTAATAATAAATTAAAAATTATTTCTTAGTATTTTGTTGGATTTTTATTTTTAGAAAAATATAATCTTTTAAAAAAATAAAAAAAAAATTGATGTTTTAATTATGTCACCTTATTACAATTCAATAAATGTTGGCTTCTATTTTAAATAAAAGAGATTACTTTAAAAAATTATATAGATTAAATTCAAATTCAATAATACATATATGGCAATCTAACCGATTGATACAATATTTATTTATTATCAATATTAATCAATTATCAAATTCAAACCCATTTGCCCATGAAATCAAAGTCCACTAATATCATCACCCATTAAATTTAATTTTTTAAAGAAAAAACCAATAATTTTATTATAGTAGGAAGGGTATTATAATAATTTTGATTAATAATAAGTTGAGGGTATTTTTATAATTATGACTAACGAGAGCATTATAATAATTTTGACTAATTATGATATGGGTATTGCAATAATTATAATAAAAAAGATATTATAATAATTTTAATTAATTATAAAAAAAATTACAATAAATTTGGACACGTGCATTCAATTGTCAAGCAATTGAAAATGTATTATGATTGCTTCAATGAAATTTTGGTTGATTATGAAAAGAGGGACACTACATTAAATTTTTACACATGTCAAGCAATAAGTAAATAATTAGAGGGCCATAATTGTCATTTTCAAATGGGTTTATTTTCATTATATAGTTATAAATTTTCAAATAAAATGATATATGTCAATCTCTTATGAAAAAATTATAAAAATATTTTCATAATTATGATAAATGATATTATAATTATTTTGATCAATTTTGATGGAAAGATATTTTTATAATTATGATAAAAAAATTATAATAATTTTGGTCAATCATGGTAATAGGTGATTTTCATAATTATAGTTGAAAAGATATTATAATAATTTTAACTTAATACGATATGTAAGGTATTTTCATAATTATGATAATGATATTATTCAAAAATAAAAAATATTATAGTAATTTGACATTTATAAGAGAAGGTTTTTTATCATTTAAAAAATAAAAAAATTATAATAATTTATATTTAAATGAGGCGTTTTTTCATCAATTAAATAGGAGGGCATTACCCTTTTTTTTTTTTAAGACAGATGTCAAATCCAAAAATTGAAGGGGTAAAATTGTCATTTCAAAGGTATATATATGTATAAATGATTGATATACTCTATAAAAGAGAATACAAAAAAAATAATATAGTATTATATAAACAGTGATTATTACAAACGGAGAAAGCCAGATGGCATGATCTAACAGGCACACATGTAACTACAGAAAGCAATCACAATTCACAAGAAAAAGCCACTGATCAATACTTCAGGTTATTTGTAGGGTAGTTGCTCGATCACAGCTGACAAACATATAGTCTAACACACACAATTCATAAAAAACATGAAAATTTCCCATTATTAAAGCCTAAAAGCACAGAATTATTATCAGAAGAGGTGATGGTGCTTCTTTCCATGAGCCTCCTCTTCTTCTTTCTTTGCTTCTTTCTTCTCGTGATGCTCGTGGAAAGCAAACCCTCCCGCTCCCACTGCTACGGCTGCTCCAATCTCCTCTTCTATCTTGTGTCTGTGCGCATGCTCCGGATCTTTCTTTGCCTTGTGCTTCTCATGCTGAAATAATCGTACGTGATTAACTATAAAATTTAAATAAAAAAAAAACTAAATATGAAGAAAAAAATTTAACTAGGAAAACTTTACCACTGCAAAAGCTGTAGCTGCGGCAGTCCCTAGCTCGCCAAGGTGCTCACGGTGCTTATGGTGCTTCTCTTCCTTCTTGTAATCAACCTCCGTTTCAGCCTGGCCAGCTCCATAACCAGCAGGGGCATCACTGGAGTAAGCAGTTTCAGAGTAGGCGACGGTTTCAGAGTAGACAGGGTTGTCAACAGGCTTTTCTTCGTCCTTGTGGTGGTGGAAGAGGTGGTGATGGTGCTTCTCCTCAGCCATTTGGGGTGGTGGTTGGCTGAATTTATCTGTTTAAACAAGAATAAATACAAAGAGAGAGTACAGGAAATATATGTCAATGTGCGGTAAAGTGAATTGTGGTGCGATGAAAGGGTTTTGATTATGGGTCTATTTATAAGTGATGGGGGCCGAAATTATGCAACGAAGGCTTCCAAGACTCGGGTTGCAGTTACTCACGATAAATGTTCTGGTGATGGAGGGTGGGGATTTGTGGCTTTCATGATCATGGTCGTACATAAATTTTTTTTGGCAAAATCATGGTCATGTAGTTGATTAATTGAGTTTCCAATTATAGAAATTTATATTGTTATAATATATTAAACATTATAAAATTTGGGTTTTTATTATATTTAACTTAATTCTCACAAAAATTTCTTTTTTGTATTATTACTATTGAAATATATATATATATATATATATGATAATTTTTCAAAAACAGAAAAAAAAATGATACAAATGAGATATTTGAAAGTCTTACCATATTGTATTTTTTTTCATTGCCTTGCATAAATAATGTAAGAAACACTTTAAAAAGAGTCATAATCTTTATATCCTACTAGAACAATCTTAGCTACATGATCGATCCTTTGGGTATATACCTCAAGGAACTTATAATTTTTTTAATATATAGATAAAATCATGAAATAATTTATAGAATAGTTGTTACTTTTACTATATATAAATATATAATATACTTTTTGTCAAATATACATTGGAAGAGTGCGTAATAGATCATTATATATAGATATAGATATAAAGTTATTTATATATATATATATATATATATATATAGAAAAACTTATTAGGTGCAGTTTGGTTTTAAAAATGTCAATTAGTTTGACAATTGGATTTCATATCCATAACTACGAAATGTTCATGTAAGTAACTTGCCGACAGTTGAACATGGCTTAAAATTTGATGATTACGTTTTATTAATAATTAAATATTATTTTTTAAAATAAATCTATAAAAAATAATATTTTATGAAAAAATTATTTATTAATGAAAAATTATTATTTGTTTAATTTTATCAATAAAATGATATTATCAAATTTATTAAAAATATATAAAATTTATATATTAATAATATATCGAATATAAATATTTAAAATAATTGTATAAATTAAATAAATTAAATTTTGAATTGTATTTTTTTCAAATTTAATAATCCTTTGATGGAGAACATATCTAAGATAGGTAGCAAAAGGAGCGGATAAACTAATACTATAACATTGCGACAAAGATAGAATGAAATGGATAATAAATTATATGACAATTCACGAATTAGATAATCCATGTGGCATTAGAAACAAAATAAATTCTATTTATGTCATATAAATGAACCATGTGTATGAATTGATTGCGACTTTGTGGTAGACCAGGGTAATAATTTAGCATCACAGAAGATTTCATTTTTCAACGGGTGATTAATTTTTTTTAAAGCAAAAGGGATGGCCCCATAAAGTTTAATTTTTTTTTAAAGCAAAAGTGATGGTCACATAAAGTTACGGCTGAAATTGCGCCACGAAGAAGATATGTTTGATACTGGTAGCGCTGGATGGCAGTTGGGGACTGGGGATGGTTTGGATTTATGTTTTGTCGGCAAGAGCATATTCCCACCTTATTTCGGATTCCATGGATTCGATTCCATAAAAATTATCACAAAATTTTGAGATATTATAATTAATTATAATCGCAAAACGGTGGGGGTAATTAGGACGGTCAACCCAATTCACTTTCGACGAGCTTTAAATCGATTTAATTTTATAAAAATTAATTTTTTTTTTAAATTAAACTTTGAATTGAGTCAGATAACATTAAAAAAAAATTAAAGTCAAGTTAAGATTCGATTTGATTCGAATTAAGATTATAAAAAAATAATTTTTATTTAATATATTTATATAATTATATATTTAAATATTTATATTTTAAAAAATAATATTTTATTAATTTTGAGTTCGATTAAATCGAATACGATTTATATAATATTAGATCGAGTTTGAATTCGAATATTAAAAAAATAAAAAAATTTAAGTCAGATTCGAATTCAGGTTTAAATTTAACAGGTATAAAATTAGGTCAGATCGAGACGAACAAAAACTCATCCCGACTCGACCTATTGTTATCCCTAAGAGCAATTGATATAATCAAATTCAATTAAGAGAAAAGAGTTATAAATGTGATAATTTAAATTTTTATCAATTGATTATATTTTTTAAAATAATTATATGAAATTATAAATTAATTGAATTAAAATTTGAATTAAAATTTTATTTATATTGTCTCATTTCTTTGTCAATATTTTATTTTCAGACGTCACAAATTAAATTATTTTTATATTTTTTAAAAATATTTATATTAAAAGTCATTAAATTCTAATATTACAACAAAAATGTGGGGAGTAGAAGTAGTATTTTGTTGTCCAGTGGAGTGAAGCATTTGGAAGACTTTATCAGTAGGAGCAGCGGTCGTGCTAAGAAACTAGGTTTGAATTTAGGTTTATGGCCCCATTTAAATCAAATCGTCAAAAGAGAAATAGAAGATAAGAATGGCTCTGTATAGTTTAAAATAATTATGAATTAATGTTGAAAATAATTGATCATGCTGTTGGCAGGTTCCAACATGTCACATTTGTATCTCCACTTCCCATCTATTCTTCAAATGGTTCAAAATTTGCCATTTTGCAACTTTGGCAAATTTTAGTTTTTTTAGACTATATTATAAAGAATAAATTTTAATTATTAAAATTAAAAATATAATATTCCAATGTTTTATGAACGTCATAATTTTTTTAATTGTACTAAGATTTATCTAACGGCGCAAGAACCCTTTACAAATCACAATCAGCAATGCCTAAAACTTGCCTCTTGATAAAAGCTCACTCACAAATTGGCATTCAACGCCACAACAAACATTCCTCAAACCAATTTTAGCCACTCCTTCAAATCTCTGACTTCAGCCTGTAAACTAGATCTGATCAGTTTATCAATCTTATTCAAATTTTGAAAGAGTTTTAAAAATAAAAAATTAAAATTTATTAAATGAATTTGGATATAATTTTTAAATTTATTTAAATTTCAAACAAATTTTAAATAAAAAATTAAAATTTGAATTTGACTTAAATTCACATATTTATATAAATTTTTTATTTTTATATATAAGTGAATTATATATAAATTAATTCATATATATATAAATTAAAAATAAGAATTATATATATTTTATTAAACTTAATTTACATATATAATTTTTAATTTTAATTTTTATATATGTGAATTGAATATAATTTCATTAAACTTAATTTAATCATTTTTTAAAATTTTTTATTATATAAATTAAATTTAATAAATGATTTAAAAATATATTTTTTAATTTGAGTCAAATTTAAAAAAATTTTAAATTAAATTAGATCTGAACAAATATATACACTATTAATATAAAATATGAATTTGATTCGAACTCAATCTGACTGGATCCGTAAACATATCTACTTTAAACTATGTAAATCATCTTCCCTGTATTTTATGCATTTTCTTGAATCTTATTTATTGCAAAAGGAATAAAATTAAGTAAAAAAATACAAATGTGAAATTGTGAAGTAAACCAGATTTGCAGGTCGAGGTTTGGACACGAATTTTTAAGTTTGAATTTAGCTAATTTGATTCAATTTGGAATATTATTTAATTAATAAAAATTATTTAATTTTAATTTAAAAACATATTTTAATATAAAAATATTTTTATTATTTTAATAAATTTTTAAATAATATTGAATTTAAATGGAAGATCACGCTCGAATTTAATATTTAGAGTCATGAATCATTTTATGGTTCAATCTAATTTAATCCGGTTTATGAACAGTTTTAATTAGAAAAAGTACATATCACTTAAGACATGACATTTGTTTAAAACAAAGGAAAAAATTAAATGATTTTGACTGGTTATTAGGCATATTACATCTATACATTCACTATTTTGATTGATTGAATGCCTGTTGCATTGAGCTAACAAATATGAAACTCAATTGCGGTAGAAAATTTAGCTAATTAATTTGATATATGGTGGTACCGTTTGAAGAGCAATTACTGAAAGCATCTATCCAGTAATTTAAAATTAAAATAGTAGTTCATATTGCCAACCATTATCTTTCTTCCTTACATAAAAGAAAACAAGATATATATATATATATATATATATATATATATATATATGAATGCTTTCCTGAGACCGAATCAATTTGATTTTTTAAGGTTCTGTTTTTGGTTTATTAAATTTTTGACGGAAACAAAGATATCTTAAGAATTTTGTTTTGTCATTTTTTGTTGAGGAAAAAAAATTTTCAATATGAAAAATGCCAATGAATATCACTACCAATGGTTTATGAAAATATTGTGTTAAAAAAATTTAAAATTTAATTTAATTAATTTATACAATCAAAGTAACATCCATAATCCGACAAATTTAAAATTTAAATTTTAATATTTATAATTTTTTTAATTTTTAAACTATGATTTTTTTATAAAAAAATTATAACACAAACGTAATAGCCAAACATGTTTTCAGTTTTTATAAATTAAAAATATAAAAAAAGTGAATATAAAACATGAAATAAAAATTTAACAATGTAGAACAAAATTCAAATCTTAAACCTCAATTCTTCTAAAGAAGATAATAATCGTTAGATCCGGTTGAAGTTGTAATAACTTTAATGGCAACAATCACCGCCAAATTACCACAAGCATCATATGTTTATATCTTCCAGGAAAAATTATCAAATGTTTCATTTTGTATTTTAATCGTTCCTCTCCATTTACTAAATTCAGCAGCAACTTTAGGACAACCTTCAAGGTAAGTTTACGATTGGAGGATCATCACATCCAAAATTTTGGAGCCATTAATTCTCTATCTGCAGCAGAACCCTGGGTGGCAAGCTTCTGAATACGAGAAGAGAATTCCTCAGCCTGACATGAATGATTAATACAAAGTCAGAGCTCCAGTTGCTGAAATATAGATCCTAAAAAATCTAGGGGGCATAGGAGAAGTAGATAATTAATAGATCTTGTAATTTTAAACAAAATATGGTGATACAATACGGAAAAAAAAAAAAAAAAAAAAAAAAAGAAATACAATATGATTTAAAATTTTAGTAAAATTCATATGTAGATTTAACAAAAACAAAAAATGTATTTCGTGTTTTACACAAAATAGACACAAATTGAATACATGAATTGTCAGGTCTATTAATTAATATTGTGTAGATTTTCCATTCTCAAGAATTACAAATCTAACAATTGTTTTCCACAACCTACACAATTGAGGAGACCAATAGAGGCCAGAAAAAGATTACTAACCTTCTCATCAACCCACATTAAAGAAGTCAGTTGATTATTCAAGATTCTGACAACCGCATCTAAGGGAGTCATTCCGTCCAGTGCCTCAAGTTCACCACCCTAAACAAATTAGAGGGCAAGTATCATTCTGGTTATGCTGTAAAAGCTAATTAGAGCAAGTCCAATCATAAGACAGAGGGCAGTCACCTGACTAGAGTTTACGGTCTCAATAATAGACTTTATCTGTTCTGTCATGTGCTCCAATTCCCTCTCAACAATTTCGGCCTGCTCATACCTGAAAGGAAAATGAAAGAATAAACCCTACACTTGCAATCAATCAAATATAAATAGAGGTGAAGGGCACAGTTTGAACCCACTCCAGTTTAGCCAAAATAAGGTTTTTCAAATGTATATATGTAAGCAAAGCTGACTTTAGCACAAGGCCAGTTAAAACCAGCTAGTTCTCACATTGCATCTCTTGTTGATGCAGCTTCATCATCTAGAAGCAATCCACGCTCATCCTTGTAAATACGTTCTGCTTCTTCTTCCATACTTTGCAAAGCCTTATCAACCTAAGGAGGAGATACATTATACATACATTTTTTTTTAATTTACAGACATCTTTAAATAGTTAAGATTATATCATTACACAAATATAGGCATGAACAATCCAAAGATCATGATTCAGAAGGCAACTGATAGCTAACACAATCATTATAAGGAGCACTTCTAAAATTTTAAGTTATGGTTGTCTCCATGATCTACACAAAACTTGAAGACTACAAACTATAGTGTTACAATGGAGACAAAATACTTTTCTATGTTTAATTGGAGGAAAACCTTATATTTGAGCATGAATATTAAGGAGACTTTCACTAGAAAAGGATAACTTTGCTCTCAAGTAGCACTTTGAGTGAGCAGACAATCATGGCTGCAGGCATTCTTGCAACATTTACCACCATTATAAGAATCAAAATGTGTTTGTTTCTAGAAACATTACCTGCCATACAAGATATAATAAAAAGTTCCCATATTCTTGAAATATGACCGATAGAGCTAATGGTGCTGAGTTGAATATACACTGTGTGAACTCATTCATGAAAAATATTTAAGCATATTGAACAAGAGAAAAAAAATTAAATGGCATTGACTGTTAAAGTTGGTCAATTTAGAAATGCTCACATTCAAGGTTAAGCATATACAAGCATGATCAGTTATTAAAAATTAGCTGGCTTATTGCTGAAAACCTAAGAGGTGCTCCATAAGATAAGCAAGCAACAATCAAGGTGGTAAAATCATCAATAAGAATAACAAAAGAATCCTGTCAGAACTACAACAACATAGCTAACCAAAGCGAGTAAAAATTTCATGCTGAGTTTAAGCAATATAAATTTCCATCGTTATGCAGAGATTCCTCCAACAAATCAGCACTAGTAACAGTCATATTATCATCAAATCCCAAACTAGGTTATGTTAGAAAGTTAGGAAAACGTATATCAGCAAAAATCTATTGAAATACCTCTTGTTGGTGAGTCTCAATTAACTCAAGTTGTCGCTCCAGGCTAGCTTGGGTCTCAACCACTTTTGCCACTTCAATCTGAATTGATGTTTCAAATTAAGAGGAGAATATACACACACAAATTGCATTGCTATATTTCAGTAAATTTGAGGAAAATATCAAAACCTTGTTAGACATCAATATAAATGCTTTGTCAACAAGGTATACAAATGACACTAATGCTGCCTCAGAAGACAATATAATACCTCAAGTCTAAGAAGAACATCACGATTCTGCAATATTCTCCTGTCCCACTCAGCTATTGCACTGGCCTGCTTTCGAAATTTCCCAGTGCGTTCCTGAAGTTCAGCATTCCATTCCTTGATGATCTTCAGCCAAGAAAGAAAATGAGGTATCTTATTATCTCAATGGCAACCTAAATTTAAATGCAGGTGGGGACGATTCGAAATAGGCATCTTGGATCCACTAAAAAATATTCCTCGTCTTTCTCCCCCCTAAGAAGTGAAATTTGAGAAAAACACAAGAATGAAGATGGTAAGATTTGAAAAAGGCAGATCCATCTGACTTGTTTGCTTTGCATGAGATTGAGATATGTATCCCTCACATTCACACTCCCACTTTTTCCTTCTTTATGCTTCCAGATATTTTGTGAATATTATTTTCCCATTTTCTATTTAATTTGTTTTGGTTTGACCTAAAAACTTATTGGGTAACAATGTCACCGCACAAAGATGACCTACCCTTTCTACTAGCATGATTAGCATTATTGATTGTAGCATTAACTATTTTGGGGGAAAAGTTATGAAGACACATGAAAGAGAAGGATTTTACAAAACAAAAAAAATAAAAATAAAATAGAAATTAAATTACCTCCTCCACTGTCTTTCCTGTTATCTCAGATGGTAATTTTGGGGTAGTAGATACTGCAGCTGTAGCACTTGAACTTGTCCTATAAGAAAAGTAGACAAAAAAGTTACACCATAAACTATTTCATATATTCATTAAGAAATTTCACAATATTTTTATTGAAGATAGCTTAAAGAATATTGAAGAAGATAGGTTTAATCTTCCATAAATTATTTCTCCACATAACGTTTCAGAGACAAAGCACTGGAAGCTAATACTTATGGTTATAAAAGAATTAGAATCTACTATCGACATAAAATGGGATTTGGTTAAAGGAATACCAGCAAAGAGATAAAACATAAAGCCAACAAGAAGAAACCTAAACATACCCGCCACTTGAAGATATAACAAGTGCTGATGATGTTTGGGCAGTAGTAGTAATGGAAGTTGAAGTTGTTGAAGAAGCAGGGAGACCTACAGGAATAGAATTCACATTTGCATGAGGACTTCAACAAATAGTCATGATACTTAATCTAGACACCTTAGCATTCTAAAGAGTAACTGATTACATGATGAAAGAAATATAGATTAAGAACATAAGAATTATTAAAAGACAAAATGACGATGAGAAAACAAAAAGAAGACAATAAGCATTGAAGGAAATAAGTAAACCACGAATATTTTAGCATATACGTAAACAACTCACCAAATACAGGAGTAGAGGTAGTAGATTGTGCTTGTGAGGATGAAGCAGGAGTGGATGGTTTTGTTGATAAAGAAAAGCCAGAGAAAGAACCAGAACTCCCTGCTGTAGCAGCAGCATTTGTCACACCAAATCCACCCAAAGAGCTCACAGCAGCCAATGAAGTATCTGAAACTGAAGATGCAGCTAAGGAAGAAGCCGTAGTAGCAGAAGATGAAGAACCTAAGTTAAACGCAGGGAATGCTGGAGTTGAAGCAGTGGTCGTACTAGCTGCTGAAGTAGAAGCAGTTGCGGTGGTAACTGTTGAAAACAATGGCGCTGATGATGTTCCAAAAGGCAAAGAAGTGGGTTTCGATGCGGCAACGCCAGAGAATGTGGGTGCAGGAGATGATGATGGTGCTATTTTGCCAAATCCAAAGGTAGGTTGAGAGGCTGAAGGTGGAGCAAAAGAGAAGCTTGAAGAGCTTGATGAAGAAGAAGCAGCTGTTAAAGAAGGTGCTGTAGTAGAGGTTACTATTGGCGTTGAACTTGCAGTGCTCTTCGAAAATGGTGAACTACCCCCAAAAGAGAACCCTGCAGTACCTGAGAAAGGCAAAGCAGTGGTTGAATTTGAACCTGAGCTTGATGATAACAAGCTTGGCAATGATGGAGTTGTAATTGTAGTCGTAGAAGCTAAAGCTGAAGATGAACTAAAAGAGCTAGTACCAGTAGTAATAGCCGGCGCTGGTGAAGATGAAACTAGAGGGGAACCACCACTGGCTCCAAAAAAGGATGAAGATGTCCCGAACCTTTCTGAAAATTAGAAATTAAGGAAAAAAGGACAAAGAAGAACTTTGTTAGTTTAAACAGATCAGAGAATAAAAGCAGCAAAGACAACAAAGAAGCAAGTTTTTATGCAGCAGCACCAGAGAATGCGGGTGCTGGTGATGCTGATGAAGTGGCTTTGCCAAATCCAAAGGTAGGTTGAGAGGCTGAAGAAGGTTGGGTAAAAGAGAAGCCTGAAGAGCTTGATGAAGAAGAAGCAGCTGTTAAGGAAGGTGCTGTAGTAGAGGTTGTTGTTGGTGCCGAACTTTCAGTGCTCTTTGGAAATATTGAACTACCCGGGAAGGAGAACCCTGTAGAAGCCGAGAAAGGTGAAGTGGTGTTTGAATTTGAAGCTGAGCTTGACGACATGAAGCTTGCAAACGATGGGGTTGTAGATGAAGATGAAGATGAAGAACCAAAAGAACTAGTAGTGGTAGTCTGCGCTGGTGAAGATGAAAATACAGTGGAACCACTGCTGGCTCCAAAAATAGATGAAGATGAAGATGTCCCGACCCTTTCTGAGAATTAGAAGTTGAAAAAAAAAATTTGTTAGTGTAATGAGATTGACGCAGAGACAAGAAAGAAAGTGGGTTTCCAGGAGGCATTACCAGAGAATGTGGATGCTGGTGATGATGAAGAAGCAGCATTGCCAAATCCAAAGGAAGAAGATGGAGCAATCGAGAAGCCTGAAGAGCTTGAAGAAGCAGAAGGAGATGGGGCAAAAGAGAAGCCTGAAGAGCTTGAAGAAGTAGAAGCAGATGTTAACGAAAGCGCGGTAGTAGAGGTTACTGTTGGGGTCGAACTTGCACTGCTCATCGAAAATGGTGAACCACCCGAGAAAGAGAACCCCATAGAAGCAGAGAAAGGAGAAGCGGTGGCTGAATTTGAAGCTGAGCTTGATGGAATCAAGCTTGAAAACGACGGAGTTGTAACTGTAGTAGCAGTAAATGCTGAAGACGAAGATACAAAACCAAAAGGGCTAGTAGTAGAAGCAGCCGATGAAGATGAAAATGGAGAGGAACCACTGCTGGCTCCAAACAGGGTTGAGGTTGTCCCAAACCCTACAATTAAAAGAACAAAAAAAAAAAATAGACAAAGTAAAATTTTGAAAGTTTGATCAGATCAGAGAACAGTAGAGCATAGACAACAGCGACGATAATGATGATACTTTAAATATGCTCAAAATCAAAGAAACGAACCCGAAGAACTGGAGGGACTTTTGGCCATCGCAATACTCGACCACTGATTCTACACTGCGAATTCAAACATTCAAAGATCAGCAAAAACTCAATATTTGCTCTAAATTAGAGAAAAAAGAAAAGGCTATAACACGAATAAAAGTTAGTCGAAAATAATAACATAAATAAAAAAAATACCCAACAACACGAAACAACAAAGGGTTTAAGAATCTAGGGTTTCGATTCAAAAAGAACTGAACTGATTATTTTTAACTTGGTTTTTTTTCCCTCCCGATTAGGATTGCCCCGGACCCGGTTATAGGGAATCCGGGTCCAACTCAACCTTTTGTTGAAGTTAGGGCTCGAATGGGCTGACATGTACAAATGTTTTGGTTTGGGCTTGTTAGCTTAGCTTGTGTACTTTCCAGAGTTTATTAGGGATTAGGTTTTAAGATTTAGGGTTATATATTAAAGAGATATAAAAAATAATTATGAGACGTAATTTTAAAATTTTATAAAAAATACAATTTTTAGATTTATAAAAAATTAAATTACTTAAAGCTATAAAATAAATATTTGTATTGCCTTTATGTTATCATTTTAAATTCAAAATATACCAAAAGATGAGAATACCCAAACATTCAACTAGCTCCTGTTACATTTCCTACGACTCAAATATAAATCTCTAACAAAAAAATCATTCAATTTCATGGCCAAAAATTTATCGTAAATAAATAACAATAATTATTTTATAACAAAATATTTTATGGGCCAAAAGAAGTCGGATCCAAAATTTTAAAATTTTATACAAGACTCAGGTCAAAAGACTCGTGGACAAGTCTAAAAATATGAGAAAATTGAAGATCAAGGCAATCTTCTTGTGACTTTCACCAACATATCAAGAATAGCAAAGCTTTTTTTATCTTTTTTATTTTATTTTTTCTGTATCAGAGGGTAATTTTTTTCAAGATTTCAACAAGGTTGTACTTGTGAAGATTGGAGAAGGAAATTATAAGAAAAAAAAAAAGAAGAAAAAAGTAAAGTTTTACTTCTTTAGCCAAACGTACACCATTTTGTGGGTCTTCGTGCAAAATGAAAATAAAAACGGGTATTGGATTTTTCAAAATGTTAATTTGTGTCATTGGCATCTACTTTTTAATTACTAATTAATAAACGATACCTTACATTTTCTATCTAGTAATAGTAGCCCCTTATTCTTGAGTTGAAAGCAAATAAAAAATCCCAAAATTACTCTTAATTAGTATATGTAACTAATTTTTTAAAAAATTAAATTTTAATATCTATAATTTACTATACGTTTTATATAATAAAATAAAAGGAAATCATAAAATGACCCATGCTAGCTAAACTAAGACATGAATGCTAATACTATGGACATGGCGCCCGACAGTGTGCCCGATAACCTGAAATATCGGACAGAACTATCATTGTCTCTTTCTTTAGCAAACATCTCAAAAATACTAGCTACAAGATAAGTTTGGAATTCTTAGCATCCATAACATCAGGTCAGGTGACCCGTTAGGTCACCAATGTCATAATCATTACTGCCAAATTCATAAAAATCATATTTGCATAAGATAGATAATGAATAGGATAATAATTATATTATATTATATTATATTTAATTTACATCTAAAAAAATAAAAGAGAATGATAAGAAAAATTAATTATCTTCTTGATATCAAATGATTTAATCCTTCTAAAATAAAAAAAAATTATTGTTAATTCGTGATATTGATTTTACATATTTTATTTATACTCTTAAAAATTACATCAATAATTTAAATTATATAAATTTTGTAAAAAGATAATTTTGATCAATAAATAAATTACATTATTCTAATCCTAACGTATATCAACACAAGATGAGATGATATTATTTAATCTAATCTTATTTATAATATCATCTTATTCTATCCTATTATAATCTTATATAGTAAACAAATCCAAAATCTACTATTTAGCTAAGAGAGATGACCTGCCTTCTTAGAAAACGCAAAACATCATGCAAATTCAAAGCATACAATGTGTCCTCTTATATTATCAGAGTCCCATGAATAGGGGCAAAATTCAATGGCACATACAGAGTCATTTGTATCAAAAAAGTTAAATGGGAACACGAAAGCTCTGTCTATCTCCCTTGTGAGTTGATCACCAGTTTCAATAATCCAATCTAGTAGTTCCATTACATCAGAGTCGAAAACTGAGACGCAGACACGAACATTAAAAAAAGGGGCAGAGATAGATAAGGTAGTGATTCAAATAGGGGCCTGTCAATATGCACACACATCAGTTAAGGGGAGAAAAATCTTAAAAGTAAAACTTCAAAGGCTCACCGGGACTATTGCTTAATACTTAATGAATTTTCAATGCGTTGAATGAGCTGATCAGCGCTCAAGGCACCCTCCTGATGATCAGAACTCAAACATGTCAACAAACATTTCAGATTGAAAAAAAGATTAACTGCAAATGAATGGACAAATAACAAAAATTAATTTGAAGAGGAAATTGAATTTCAGCAATTGCAACACACATAATTGATGCAGTCTATTAGTGGGATTAACTGCCAAGATTACACAAAATGAACCTCTTATGCCTAGCAATGATGTCCACTATATTGCTTAAGAACAAGTAGACTCTATCACAGCCTAGGAAGGAGAAAGTTCCTGGTATAGATTAATTGGGAGAGGGGAAAGAAGGAAAGGTAAAACCTTAAAGGGTCAGGTCTGTAGCTTGAAAGGAAAATATTTGGTTGGTCTGAATTATTCATAATAACTAAATAGGACAAGCATCCCCAGGCACAGAAAGATGAACTGGCACAGGTGTTTTATAAAAGCCTCATTTGAAGGAAGTGCTAAGTTTTTCTAATTTTTTTGGCTGGCAGCTGTCCGACTCCGATCATTCACCTAAGATAAATGCCCCAGAGTTCAATTTATTCAACTACAGCCCATGCCATTGCAAGTGATCAGACTGTTTTCATATTACAAATTTCGGCCTGAATAGCAGCAGCACTCCTCATATAATTGTTCTACATGTTCACCATCATAAACACTGGTTAAGAAATAAAATGTTCAAGTGAGCAGAAGTATACAAAATCAACTTACAAAACGATCAAAGGGCCTCCCATCCTTAAATATGATGAAAGTCGGTAATGCTTGTATTCTGTATTTATCAGCAATGCTAGGGTACTTCTCGGTGTCAATCTTCACAATCTGAATCTTATCTTTCAGGGTAGAACTCACTTGATTGAGGATTGGAACCATGAATTGACAAGGTCCACACCTACAAAACCAGACCCTTTGTTAGAATTTCAAGCCTCAGATAAAAACATAAATTTGCATCAGAACATAAAACCATATTTAACCAGCTAAGCAATTCTATATATTTATCAATTAGGGTTAGCATCCAAGTTAGTTTAAAAAGAAAAGTTACCAGGTTGCATAGAAGTCAACCAACACAGGCTTGTCGGAATTCGACAACAACTCATCAAAGGAGTTAAATATTTGCTTCTTTGCTTCAACCTACAGTAATCATTTGTCAAACCTGTCGTTTCTTAAGCTACAACCTAAAATATACATTCAAAACAGCTACACACTCAAAGAACAGAAAAACCAGATATAGTTTTTTTCATCAAACAAATATAATATTCACCAAAATGGCTAAACCCTAAAGTTTAACAAGATAAATTAATTAAGTAAAGAATCAAATTAAGAAGGCAAGGACAGGAATTGATGATAATAAAGGAGAAAAGTTTAAAAGCATTACTACAAGAGGACGATAGCGAGAGGAAATTGGTCTATCAACGATTCGAATGGGCTGAAATTGAATCGACGATGAGAAAGATAGTTTCGAGGAATAATAATAAGCCGATAGTTTAGCTGAGCTTTTTCGATTCAGAGAAGGAACAGTTGTTGATGCCGCCACAGAAATCGCCATTTCCCCCGAATTCTGAAGAAGCCGATTTCTACCCTTCCAAGGTGATGGCAGGCGCTACGTCAGCTTAGCTTATCTGTTGTTTGGATATAAACGGATCCAAAGGGTGAAAAATGAGAAAAATATCCCTTTGTAAGTGACAAATATGTGAAATTGAGAAACAGGGAATTGATGATTTGGTGGGATGAATTGTTTTTGTTATGCAATGGAAACAGAATTATCGCCGTCACATGGTGAGAATTGGCTTTATTAGTTTGTTTGACTCTGTAATGTTAACTAGATTTGAGTTAGCCAATGGGATGCAAATCACTTTCTGAAGGAAAAGTAGCACCGGATCTCTAATAGGGACTTAATTTTGGTGACGTGGCGCTACACCCACGAAAATTTCTTCACTCGTCGGAGGTACACGCTCGGATATGTTGTTGCATTCTTTTCTTTGGTGTTAAATAAGTGTGAAAATATAAAAAATTATTTGTAATAATTAATATTAGTAGAATAAATATAAAATATATTTTTTTATTTTTATCAAATTTATATATAATTTTATAAAAATTTTAAATGGCATCTAAAACTTTACATCATTCACTTGCACATATTTTTTCTATCATTTTTATAATTATATAATCATATCATGTATAAAATTATCAAATCCATCGAGCAATCAAACCCAAGTGCGTCAATTTCATTTTTTTTTTTTTTTGATCTCCTTTCACCGATTTTCTCAATCTTAAAAAAAAAAAAAAGGAAAATTTCAAATTCCGATGGGGAAATTACAAAATTAGATGTTAAAACATAAATATTTACTAGTTGCTACCTAGTATTATTCTATTCCAGCATTCAAACACCAAAGCATGCAAAGCTTAAACAAATAAATGGAAAGTGAAGACAGCAGTTGATAGAAAAAGATACATTCAGAGTAAGTCTAGCAAGACATTGGCTTGATTAACTAAAAAGTACAAGCAAGTTTCACAGGTAACAGTAACTGGAGCGACTTCTCCAGAAGCCATGACAAGTTCTTGAATTAAATATCAAATTATTCTAAGCAACTCTGATTTCTTTGTGTGTACACTGTGGAAGGCAAAGCCCTTCTCACTGTCATAACAGAGAAATGAAAAGCAAATAGAACTACAAGAGTCCTCGTTGGAGAAGAAACTAAATCATGTAGAATCACTATTATCTCTAACCTCAAAACCATGGTACAACATTATGCCAGGAAAGTCAGCCATCACTTGTCCACGTGAAGGCCAAAACAACAATGGTTAGTGAGAAGAAAATAGTCCCGCAAGCAAACAACCACATAACCTTGCTCGATCCTTTTTTCGGGCTCTCTTGATTCCCCAGTTCAACATCTTTGAGAAGTTCCCGTACTTCATCCATGTCTGAATCCTTGGCTGCTTGGAGTAGTCTACCCTGAATTTTCCCAAGCTTAGTGAGTCTGCTATCTCTAGTTCGATCCTTAGCTGACCAGACAAAACCAGTCATCTTCCACAGGAGAATACCCACATAGATGGCAACAATACAATCTACAGTATAATGGTGGCGCTCTCGTATTTCACGCTGAGCACTGTGCATAACGAGCAGCCATATGAGAGCTGAGCTAAACCCCCCGTGAGCCTCCTGCAATTTAGGATGTGCAAAGGCCAATATGACTTAGTCATTTGTGATTTGACAACAGCCACTAGAAGAAGACACAGCAGAGTTTCTGAAAGTAATAAAAGAATACCGTCCATGCCATAGCAGTCAGTACAGCAACTAGCATGTGGCCACTATATAGAAGGTCATTGCAGCCACCCCCTGCCTTTTTAAGCAGATTGTACCAAGAAGATCCTTCTGATGGGGTGGGTCGCAGAAAATCAATTAGGAAGCTCATTGAACCCCAATCTGGTCGGTAGTCATCAAGGTATTTGCTGGTACCAGCTGGGAAAGAAGAGAAATCTTAAGACCAACTTAAGGAAATAGAGATTAAATTTACCACAGAGGACCTGCCATAATATCAAAATAAATATATAATTAAACTAACCATATGCTATATCCTGTTGTATTACTTGACGAATGGCATTAGCATCTGAAGCATAAGGAACATAATATTTCTGAGCCCAATGATGAGGATGTCCAGGGATGCTAAATCGAGCAGAAGCACACCATGGGCGGGCCGATGGCAGGATTGTAGATACAAAAGTTACAGCACGAAGAAGACGGCCAATTGCCATGGTAAACATGTATCGTGCACCTAACCCAAGGCCAGGAGCTTTTACAGAGTCAAATAGGACAGAGAAGGCCAACATTATAAATAACATCAAGAAATGGTGCAAGCCAATAATGTGAGCTCTCAATATCTCAACAACTGCTTCAGGAAGTTTCTCATTTAATGCCAGGAGCAACCATTGACCAGTATCAGGAAGAGGATGCGTATCACTGTTAAATATTAACAATTCGATCAATGTTTCCATTAAAATTTAAACATATTTGCAGATTAAGTATTTAGGAAATCAAATGTTTTGTCTTAGTTCCCAAGAGAGAATGCAAATCATGCAAAAATTTAACATTATAAGATATATTAAGAAACTGTCAACTCTTATTTATATGTCATGTATACATTTCAAATCATTACACAATGACAAAGATCCTCATTTAAAAAAAAAGTTAATTAAGTTCATATGTACATACCAACTATGTAATTACTATATGATTCATTCATATTGTCCTCAAATTATTCTTCAGAGGCTATTCTTGTAATTCTACCTACTTTCTAGTACATTTTAAATAAGCTGCATAGAATATTGTAAATGAACTAGCTTTGGTTGTCAATTATTCTAGCAACTCAAATAACTTATGCACCAGATCTCTATTAATGTGCCAGAGAACATGTTCTTGTTGAATCACTGAGTCATGCACTTAACACACGCCCATAAAATAAATTATCCAGCAAATAGACTAATTTTATAATTTGACGATATAGATTCTCTAATGAGGTATATGTGGAAGGCATGTGTGAAAAGTTAAAATGACCATGTATCTTGTGTGATTGATATCTTCATAAAAATAAGAACACATACAAGTGAACCATCACTTAAGCAAAGCTCAGTCATAAATTGCCTCCTCCTAGGGTCAGCTTGGTGTCCTACATATGCAACCTTGTCCTGATTCAAATTTCCAATCTCATATGATGTTTCTCAGATCAAATTTCAGGAAAACAGTAACAGAGATGCAATCCTTAATCTCTTTCCTCTGTTAATCCTTCATAGTTTATCAAGTGAGGAATGAAAAGTTTTCAGCTATGAATTAGTGTTGCTATAAATTAACTCGTTTTATGATAGATGATAAAACAAAAGACAGTGGGCCTTGAGTGAACGGAGGAAACTTCGAGAGGAGTTGAGACCATGAGCACCCTGGAAGAAATGAAATAAATGCATTCTAGAAATCCAGAGAACCACTGCTCTTATAAAGGGATACATCATAGCAATTACAGTGAGAATAAACTAGAATATCAGTTCAATACATGCATGCCACTATAGAAAATTTTGGTGCAGGTAAACAACTACAAATGTGATAGCCACTATCCCCACATTACCATTCCCTGCTGTTTTCAAGTGCATCATGACAGAAAGGATACAATACTATAGAAGAGTCGCTTAAAGGAAAACATAAGATAGAATAAGACGAAAGGAAAAGTAAAATTCTCTTTTTAAGCTAAGAAAACCAATATTAATGCGCTTGCAGGAAAATTAGAGATGATGCGCCACTGAAAAAGCCATACATACACATTCATGAATTCTATTCACACAAGATAGCAACCAAATGTGATTCAAAATACTACCTATAAACAAATTGATGACAAATTTGTTTCTGCTTTTTCCTTTTTAAGTTCTGCAAAGTGATGGATTTTGAGGAGTAAAAAAATGTTAGACAATGAATGTATATGTAGGAAGTTTCTGGCATAGAAATGGAATGGACCCAAGTTTCAAATTCCAATTTCATACCATGCTACAGGGTCCTAGTGACAGAAAACAGAGTCCGAGCTGTCCGTGAATAACTTTCTTCCCTATTCAGTCCTTCTAAATATCTGTTTTGTTTTCTTAAAGGTAAATCCTTCTATCTATTTTATCATTCTTTTTGGCTTAAAACGTTCTTTAAGTTAATATCACATGGTGTAAAACACCAATAACGGATGACATGAGACATGAGACATGACACAAGGCAATCTGTTTTGGTACCTCAAACTTTATTTATTACAGACAGGCAAAGATTGCATTTATTTTCGAAATAATCTATGAAAAATTATTGACAAGGCCTATCAGACATGAAAATCAAGTAAAACTAATCATAAATGTCATGCAAGTTGCAACCAACGCCCAAGCTTTGATTGGAAGATGCTTTGCAGCCTGCCAATTATCACTAGCAAGATTCAGACAGTGAGTGGACAAACTAAAAAGGCCAAGAACCAAAGTTTCCAATCCTGCAACATCTGGAGCAAAGCTGATCGGTCTTACCACTCAGCATTTATTCTTAGTAATACCAATCATATAGCTTTCCATAATTAGTACTTGAAACTCTCATTGCAAGAATAAAATCTAGCATTTCTGATCCAAACTACTTTCCTAGTTTCCTAACATGAATCAAAACTAACCCAAATCACAGCCCCTAAGCATAATCCATAAAACTGATAATGAGCCAAAAATTAAAAAAGAAAAAAAAAAACAGAAAACGAAACTCGACCTGCATAATAAAAAGCAAAGAAATACACAAATCAAATAAAATCACATCGAATTTAAGCTGATTCAACATCTGGGTTCCACTTTCAACCCAAAACAAGAAGCAAGTAACTGTACCTGTGCCAATCGAGGCCAAGAACAGCAGTAACGAAACGAACTGAGAGAGCTTCAAAGAGAAGAGCAGAGAGCATGAATATAATTGAAGCAAGGAAAGGGAAAGCAGCTCGAAACTCAGCGTTCCAATGACGGTAAAATGGTACGCGCGTAATGGCAACGAGCGCGAGTAAAGACCAGAGCAAGGGTTGAAGACGCTCGTGCCACATTGGCGACACGTTGCGCAGGTAGTCTACCAACACGTAGATCATGGCCGCCAACCCAAGTCCTCCGCCCCTAGCCGCCGACCACCGCATGGTGCTGGCGGTTTTGGTGAAGACAGAGGAAGAGTAATTTTTGGACAAAGCTTTGGGTTTGGTTTGATTCGTTGCAGGGAGTTAAAAGCGGAGTAGGGTTTAAGGATGTTGGATCTTGGATTTTGAATCAAGTCCTCGATCAGTCATGATAAAGCTAATCTAATTCTTGGATTTCGAATAAGTCTTACAAGACGATTGGTTCGGAAAAAAAATTAGATCATTTTCAAAATTTTTCTCCCTTAATTTGATTTTCACTGGCACCTAATTCTTGAAAATATTTTAAAATTTTCAGCAGCGTTTAAAAGTTAATTTTGTCCTACTTTTAACTTTAATAATACATATTAACTTTAATAATGCATATTTTTTAAATTTTTTCTTAAAAATCAATATAATTACATAATAAATAATAATTTATTCTGACAAATAAAGTTACATTTTAGTAATATGATTAAACAAAGTTGCATTGTTAATCAAATAATTAAAGACCTAACAATGATCCTGTATTTTTTATTGTTAATAACAACATTTTTTAATTATAAAAGTAGTTGAATAATTTTAAAAATAAAATCTTAATAAACCAAAATTTATCATTTACTTATGTTATAAACATAATCATATGTTATAATATTTTATAAAAAATTAATTATAATAAAAGCAAGGTTTTTAAAAAATATATAATAGATTATTTCAAATTTAAGATTTAATTTTTTTATAGTTTCAAAAGCACTACATTTTTAATATATAAAACGTAATTGATCATTTAAAATAATGATAAAATAAATTTTATATTTTCAATACCTACAATATTTTTAATATAGAAACGTAATAATTAATAAAACATAATATTTTTTATATAAAAATATATTTGTTATTTGTAGAGTCGAAAAGTTTATAATTTTTTTAACTATATTTTTATGTAAAAAAATATAATATTTGATAAAATTAAATTTTGATTTATATTTTTCTATGTAGTGATAATAACGTTTTATTCACATATCAATATTATGAATATCAAATGTAATTCATGTATTATAAAAGATAATATAATAAAATACTTCATTAAATAATTTTAATCAAATACAAAAATCTTATATTTCTCAAGTCAATAAAAATTAAACTTGACAATTTCAAACACGACACAATAACATGATAAGAAAATGATACAAATAAATGACACGAAGATAATATGATTTAATAATTTTTTACAAGCAAACAGATGACCAAGCCTCGTTATTAGAAGTTTTCATATTATATTATTATTTAACATTACAATGACCAAGAGTAGTACAATCAGATGAGACAAAAAATTATAAAAATTCATTTCATTGATATATAAAAAATGCATACATGATCATCGAAAAATACAAGATTACAACTTAAAAATGAAAGCCTTATGGGATAGCAGTGATATTTGCCTCACTAACTCTTTCCTACTGAAATTTCATAAGTGAAATATGGTTGACATGTAACAACTGTAAAAGCATTTTCTATGCTTGTTAAGCTTTAATTCCCTAACATCACGCTTCCTTGAGCTATGATTCCAAGAAACTATGATTTTCACATTGAAGCATCATGAGCTGGATCAAAACTCAAAAGGAATTTTTACCTCTTTATTCATAAACATGCGTAGTAGGCAAAAAATCTGTAAAATTGGTATAATCACCATTCCTTCCAACATATTTCCCATCCACCATTAAAGGTGAATAAGGCCAGAGACATGGTAATGGTAATTTTTCCCCTCATTGAAACATTGGTAATCTTTCTTTCTTTTCTTTCCAAGCTTTCGACAACGGTACGAGAGCGGTCACTTTATAACTCCTTTTAGACTTAAAGCGATTGTTACACTTAAGTCAATTGGTCAACGATCTAAGTTTGATCAACATAATTAGGTCCTTGGATTGTGTAAACAAAACATGTCTAAGTAATCACATCACCTATTTTCAGGAGATGATTCACTCTTCACTAAAAGAAGGACTAGCTAAAGGTTTATGCTGATGACAAGCCACATGACCCTAACAGCCATACCCAGCCACGCACCGAAATTCGGATAAAAGTATAGTTTCATTTCCTTTCCCCTATATTTATAAGCAATTGTGTGTTAAAAATAAATGTTCCAAGATAATAGAAAACACAAAAGATCATCAATATGTTCATGTTTCAGGGTCTTGACTATTCATCAGGAGTTTGGCAGTTTGAAGGCTATGGTTTTGTGCCGAATGGAACATCCGGGGCTATCATATCCCAAATCCATGGAGCAGCTTCGGGCGCTACGACTTTGATACTAAGGATCTATGATGGAAATATGAGGTACTACAGAGGAGATTTGGTGGACACCGGTCTTTATGACAAGTGGTTTAGATTAAATGTAATCCATGATGTTGATGGAGGAAAAGTGACAGTATATATTGATGGTGTTAGAAAGTATTCAACTTAGGATAAAGGGCCAGGTGACCTATATTTCAAGTGTGGAGTTTATGCAGCACCTCCTAATATAAGCTACTACATGGAATCAAGATGGAGAGACATCAAAATATATAAGAAGTCAAAGTGAAAGTACTTGAAATAATGTGGTTGTGAAGTGAAAATAAAGCTTTTGTATCTTTTCACTTTATTGTTGTTGAAACTATAAAATAAACGCCTTACATTGTGAACTGCTGTTTGCACTTTCTATCATTTACAATTCCTGAAATATTGGTTCACCGAATTTTTCGAAATCATGACTTTCTTCTCCTTTGGATGATTGATCCATGCCCAACTTTTCCAAGGAGAATATTATGCTGTGATGAAAGAATAAGTCTTGCTTCAGTTAAGGCTAGTGTTATTGCTCTTTCTCGTTGTCCTTCTTCTTCTTCTTTGGTGCTATACGTGCTGGAATATTTATCTCAGAAATTTGGGAAAGAAATGTTAAGATATTTTAAGAAGAGTTAGAATTGATGCATTCTTTAAATACAATCGGAATCTTATCTAGCCTAAAACGCCTTAAACGCTACCATTTTCATATCACGGAAGCTGACAACATTTTTTAATGAAACGCCTAGTACTGTGAAAAACCTATTTTTGTGTAATGACCTAATATAGTATATTATTTGGAAATAGGGCTTATAAATAACTCTTCAGTTTGGACAACAGGAAAACAGCTATTGTTGAAGTAGCCGCGCACCAGTTGGTCATGTTACACACTCTGTATGTCACAACAAACGACCATTAATCCCTGAGAAAATCCATGAATCCTTGGCCGACTGTTTCATTTGATTTGTTTCAACTACTACATACACAATAATACGTAGCAATCCAGCTGAACTCATTATCAGCACTATACTCCTAAACTGGACAACAACAAGAAAACAAGGCCCGTAATTAATTTTCTAGTTTCTAATCAGGCTCCATGTCTGATGTAGCATCAACTGATAATGATTCCAAACATTATTAAGTTATGCATTGTCAGACAAGAAGTTGGTCAAAAACCAACACAAAAATTCTCATTTCTTTTACGATAAACAATCAAATGGAACCGTCCTATACATATATTTTAAGTGCGTAGCAAGGCAACATTTTCGGTCACAGGTTTTATTTTAGGAAGGGTGAGAGATGACCCCTTTTAGAAATTCTGGTTAGTTATAGAGAAGACAAGACTATCACACTCCAAGATCGCTGCAAATACGATTGACCACAATACAATTTTAATCACATTCACAGACAGCCTACCCCAGGTTGCTGCAGAGAATGCAATAAAATTTTGAAAGGAAAAATCAACAGTAACATCACACAGGGGGAAAAAAGTAGAAGAGGAAGAGGAAAATCTGCCCGTTTCATCTTTCAAAATGAATTTCTTGTCATTTGCTTCTAATGGAATTCCCGCAGCCAGAAAGGCCTAGAGCATCTTCCACAGCATCCTGAACCCAGAACCAGTATTGATAATGAAGACTCGGTTTAGAGTCTGCAAGAAAAAAAAAAATATATATATATATATATATATATATCATAGACCAAAATTACCCAAATAATGTCAATGAACGTATCCTAACAAGTACCTTCCACACACGTGGTTCAGAGTCAATGTGATACATGATGTTGGCAAAGGGAAGGTCACAGTCTCCATTGATGGAAAAGAAAAGTTTGCGGTGAACGTTCAGGGGCCAGGTGACCTTTACTTCAAATCTGCTGTTTATGCTGCACCAGCTAACTCTAGTATCTACATGGAATCAAGGTGGGAGAGACATTTTGCTTTTCAAAAAATGATTGTTATTGTTGAAGTGTAATGCAGTATATACAATCAAAGATTAATTCGGTTAAAGTGTAATGCAGTATATATAATTAAAGCTTAATTTGGTTTGAACTAGAGCTTAATTGTTAATTCATATAATCACTCTTAAGAGATGATATCTAACAAATTTAAAATTTAAATCTTAACACCTGCAACCTCTTCCTCTATCTTAAAACTGTGATATCCTTTGTACTGAAAAAGAGATAAATCCAGTTAGAAAAATGGTTATTTATTCGTGTAATGTAATCTGCTATTTATCTTGGTATATTCTCTTGAGCATAACATATATATAATATATATATTCTTACCAGCAATAAGACTGCTTAAAAAGATAGGAAAGTACTTTTGTGG